GATTCTTTGAAATTACGTAACAAGATTTATTTGGCGTATCCAAGAGAATTATTGGAATATCTCACGGTGATGATTCACCTTGTGTTCTTTCAGAAAATACAGACCCTCTATACTTGGAAAATAAATGCTGTAATTTACTGCTACCGGTGCAATATCCCACATTTGTTCCACGAGTGTGGATGATAATTTCACAGTTCGCAAAATCAATATTTATCACCTGTGAAAATCAAAATGACACAGAAAGAAAATATCAAATGCAACGGTGGCGTTATAGTTTAGGATGCAACAGCATTCTGCATTTTCTAGGGTGGTTTTAATTCAGGCTTGTTATGCATGCGGTCTTAAAAATATGATGATGTGTGTACCTTGAAACCGTAGAACTACAGTAAAAACACAAGGATGCCATTTTGTTTTAACATTTCTATCCCTCCCATTCCTTGAATATGTCAAATTTCCCAGCTTACATGTCGTGCAAAACCACTGCATCTGACAATGTGCAAGAGGGCCCAAATAGACTCTTCCCTGACTATTCCTATCCTCCTGCGTGAAGCAAAGCTTAACACTTCATTTCAACTAAAAAATTCTTAAAACTGAAACGTAGCCGAAGACAAAGAAACCATTCCTCCAATTATATTGCAATTAAGGATTCAATCCTTATTAAACGATAAAGTAATGTAATAATTACATAATGCTTCCTAAAATAGGAAGTTGCATTCAGATAGAAACTGGAAAAATATGAAAATGAATAAATTTGTGCAAAAACACATCCAACTAGATTTACTGCAGTGCCAAGATGGTGTCTTTATTAGGTGTTTTTTTGAGGTCACTTATGGTTTAGGCAACTGGTTGGGGTTTTCAAATAGAAGTACCACAAATGATTTTAAAAAGGGCACTTCTGATTAAATTTACCATCTTCGCTTATTCTGGGGACGCAAGTTCAGAAATGTTTTTCTTTTTTTAATTGCAGTACCACTTTAATTACATTATTATTACATTATTTAATTATTATTCGTAAATACAGTATATTCGTAAGTGTATTTTAAAAAATCTGAATTTCATTACGTCATAAAACTCACTACATTCATTAGAATTTGAAAGATTTGCTTGAATATAAAACCAATTCATAGTCAGAAGATAATAAAAAAAATTGACCCAATAACTGGAGCCTTTCACATTTGTCAATCTTAATGAATTTATTCTCTCTATAATACACTCTAGAGCATATTTACCTTGGTTTTGCTACCACAACATAAATCATATTGCTGTAGCATTAGTTGACTATGCCATATACGGGCAAATCTGGTGTCAATCTTTTCTTATTATGCTGTTATCTACACTATTTGCATACTTCAAGTTTTATTGGCTGTCAACAAATAGTGCCAAAAAACATACACAGCAGCCACCACCCAGCAAGTAACTTACACTAGTTTTAGTAATAAATGTAAGCCTTCATTTATACAACACCTTTCAAGTAAAAGGTAGTATCGAAGTCTTTTAAATGTAAAATATTACTTGGTATACATTAGGAACGGTTAGGAGTGAAACACAGGGCAGTAATGGTTTTGATGATAGCATGGATTCAACTATCACTTTAACCCCAGTGACTAAATAACTTATATGCAGGATAGTTAGATCTCTGTGTAATACACTGCATACATAATTTCTGCGTAAATTGATATGACTCAATTCTCACCCTATATACTCATAGAAGTTTGTGAAATGCTAAATCAAGCAACGTGGAGCCACGCAGAAAAACACCAATACAAATAGAATTAGAAAAACTCAATAAAGTTCCAAAAGAGGTGGGGATTGTGTCAACACATCCTTGGGGTTCACAAGATGGATGAAGAAGGGCCTTCAGCCCATTTGATTCCATCCTTCTAGAATACCAACCCTACTATCCTCTCATTACAACATCAAACTATTTTTTTTTTAAATGAGTCCAACATCTTGGCCTCAAACATCTTTCCTGGTAATCTGTTTCAATCATTAATTATCTTTGGATGATAAAATATTTCCTGGTGTCAGTCCTGAAATTGCTGAATGTTCAGCATATTTTCCCTGAAACAAGGAGTGATGCAAAACAATCAATCACATCGTGGAGTCATTTTCTGAATCTTTTAAAGAGTTTATTACTTTATGTTCATAAAGCTGCACAAACAAACTTCACTACAAAACAAAACTTTGTGAGCAAAATCTGGTCGAACATAAAATGCAACAATGTCAGAGGAGAAAGCCAAAATAGTGTGCTTCACCCTTTGCGTCCAAACATTTCATGTGAGCTACAGGCATTTGATGGCCGGCAGTAATTTTGCTGATTTGGGCATGAACATAAACAATACCACTAATAAACATTTCCAAGTTTTATACTGCTGACAGTATTTATTCTCCATGAATTGTCTCTCTCACTGGTTCAACGTACGGTACCTCCCATAAATGGTCACACTCTTAGGCCCCACAAATAGAACACTTTTGCCAATACTGTTTACAATTGAAATGGCAATAAGAAAATTTGGAAGTAGAAAGACATTACAGATCACAATGTTTACATAAGAGCAATAAACAATTCTTAATTGTCAAGTTCACCCCTATAGCAAATCAGTCACTCACTTGTAAATCATCAGTTCAACTGAATGAAATCATAGAATGGATGGCATATTTGGATTTTTGTTTGCCTATTTTCCCCCCAAATTTGGATAAATCATGAATTGTCTGCTGCCAAGCTCCGGAAGAGAACTTGGTGTGTTGTGGAGAAAGTTATTGCTCGGATTTGCTGACAGAAAAACAGAGCTTATATACCTGAATACATTAACTGACCCCGGTGAATGTCTTTGAGGCAGCTGTTCTGAAAGATCAAAGGACAACACACAGTGTTCCTGTTATCTGACCTCGGCACTTTGACAAAGTCCTTTCTTACGCTACAACACCATTGTATACAATGGAAAAATAAGATTCATATTTCCACATTTTAGTCTTTGGATACCTCTGCACAGCTCATCAAACAAGTTGTTGGGAAATGAGTAAAGGTCTACAGTTGAGGATACCCAAAAGATGCTTAAGAAATGTTCTACTCATCCACAACTACTCATACAACAGAAATTACAGCAACTCTCTGAATATTACATCAGTATGAAGTAAATTGTAGACAAACATAAAGATTAAACAAAAACAATCAACTTTTCCAAACAAAATCAACTCTGGATCAATAATTTTTCTTTAAAAAGTTTTTGTTATCCTTGTCGATTGTCTTTTACAAGGTTATATTTGCTGATAGTTGCAGAGAGTTTACTATGATCCATACTTGAGGGGACACAGCTTTCAAACATCAATCATTCAATCCCTGAAAATCCAAGCTGCTGAAAAGACTTGTTATTTCCTCTTAGTTAGTGTGGAGGCAATAATAATAATCCTTGCATTTGATATAGCGCCGTATCACGTCTTCGAGACGTCTCAAAGCGCTTCACACAATACACTGTAAAGTGAATTGACTGTATATTTTGTGGGCGAAACACAGCAGCCAATTGCGCACAGCAGCGTCCCACAAACAGTCATGGATTGAGTGACCAAATTATTATTTGTTTTTGAAGGATTATTATTCCCGGAAAAGCGATCCGCCAATCGACTAACAACCAGGTTCCTACTCACTACTAGGTAAACAAAGGCGTGTGGAGTAAGGAAACTGCCCAACGTTTTGCCCTGCCCGGGAATCGAACCCAGGTCTCTCGTTTGCGAGACGAGTGCTCTAAGCACTGAGCTACAGGACTCCATTGCAATGGTAATGATACTGGCCAATGATGACATTTCTTTATCAATATCAAAATGTCCCCATTATTTAGATAAACTCCTCCCGCAAATTAATTTTATCCATTTTTCTTTATATGATTGACTGCCCTCTCTTAACTCTTCCCAAATCAGCCAATCTTACCTTCTACTTCTCTCTCTTAGTACACCTACCTTTAATTTTCTTTCATCGCCACCTTACTTCCCATGACAATCTCAAACTTAGTTTGACCCAACCCCAAAAGTCTCGATCAGTTTTCTTTCTCCTGTTTGTTTCTCTGTATTAATATCACTTATTCGCCTCCTTTTCTTTCCAATCCCAATAATTTGCTCCAGATCCTGCCCTCACTACTTTTGTCTCTGTTTATCTTGCCACAGGATCTTCCCCTCCGCATCTTGCTCGTTCTGGCGCCATCGTTGAGTAAAATGCTGCAGAACTGCTCCGAATGATTTCATGCCTGAATTAGCTTGTTTTTACCTTCCTCGCACAACAAGAAATATCCTATAAATGGATGCACATTAAATGCTGTTATTTTTAAATAGTTCAATCTGATAATCTACAATTACTTGGACAGATGTTTATCCAAACGTAAAACACTCTATAAAGCCGGACTATGTAATCCATAAAGTCCAGATGTGCAATCCAAAATCAGTCAGTAATTTATTCTTGTATTAACTACCACCACAGCTTATCACGTCAAAAATATGTTATTCTAACAGGCAACATAAAGGTTTCTTCTGTGGAAAGAATCCAACTGTGGAATTAAAAGAATATATTTCTGCAATGTAAACAGTAGTAATTTGTGGTTTTTTTTGGAAAGATTAGTTCCTAAAGAACCATGTCATTCAAACTTTGCAATACATATTTTGGATGGGGAAAAATAGTGTGAATTTCCTTTTTTTGCAAATGCTGTTTATGTGTAAGCTTTCATTTCAGAGTGGTTAACTTTACCAAATGTCAAGAGAGTAATTATATTCTGACTGAGTGTTATTCAGTCTCTTTAAAAAATATTTTTAAACCTCAAGAATTGTTTCAGCAGATGTCATGCTTTCAAGTTTAAGGAGATGAGCACAAATAAACTCCCAATCGCCTCTCCAATGTGTAAACCACATCTATAGCTGCTGTCTTTTTCCCTCCTTTGAAGTGCACCAGAAATGTCATGTGTCGTGAACACCACTGTGCATAAGCCAGACAATTTGCTCACTCTCAAAATCCTTACCAGTTTCAACAGTTATTTGGTATCCAGCCTCTAGTCTCCGTGATGACCTTTCCAAGCGTTCTGTATTATCCAGCAGGAAGGCTCTCTGAAACAAAATTGACAATGATTATACACACAATATTTAAGTGCTAGATTATAATTTCATATAATTTAATATGGAAGGAACCGTACACAAGAAAAATAGCATAAAAGCCACATTTTGAAGTTAAAATGTTAACTTGGGTTTTTTTTTCAAAATAGAGCTAGGTTGAGCTCACAGAATATCGAAAACCTACTTTTTGTACTAATTTCTTCACAAATTACTAATTGTCTGAATTGATGCCAAGTACCTTCCAGGTTAGGTTCAGTAAAATGGGAGATTCTATCGACGTGGAGCACAGAGTATGTATTGTTTCAATGCATTTTTTTTCTAACACAATATTTCAAGCAAGACAAAATTCTAAATGGTGAACTCAGGGAAGCGATGTTGATAGTTTCAAGGCTCACGTAAATGAAAACTGTGCCTCTGTATGCATCGAGACTCTTGTGAATTGAGTCAGAATAAACCAGTAAACAGAAGTAATTCCCATTCTGTGGCAGTTTTCTGAAAATGTTGCCAGTGTGAATTCATTACTCTTTCTGTGTTTGACTGAATGGAATCAGACTCTTTCAGCAATTATGAAGAACCACCTTGAATGTTTACATACAAATTGGTTTACTTGGTATCCTACAACTCCCATCTGAACTCTAATTCGCTCTGCAATGTACCATATTTACAAGGTTTGAACTATTCTGAAATATTTAATGATCATATTTACTGAAAATAATATAGTGGCAAAGTAATCAGTTTTACTGATTGCAAAACCAATTTAGTTTTTAGAAATAAAAGCTACTTGCAAGATTTTTCTATATAGGAAACAAACTATAATTGACAATTGCCACACTTTCATTATGATAGAATTAGCAGATTTAGATTGATTATATTATATTGATTATTAGAAATAAATTGCAAAGTCTGAGAACAGTCATACTGTGGTCTTGATCTTTAATAGTTTTTGCTTGTAATTTTCTAAAGTGTCTTATTATGGCGCTGCTATAGAATTTCACTCGGGATTTTATGCTCATTACAGGAAAAATATGGAGTGCTTTGCGAATGCCAGGAGTCTTATTTAAACTGATGTTCTGTAGAATAATTAGGCTCCAATACTGTGCCACACAAGTTGAAATAAATAGCTGTATAATAAGATAAGCAGAATTTTAGATAGGCACAGCTACACCACAATTATCATATCTTATATACAAAACATCTGTAACATTTTATTGTCATTGTTACTGTCATCATTAAGATACATGGCCTTTTTAAGGCCATTCTGAGAATGAAGAAGCTTTTAATCAGTGGATATTTCCCTTGACTTTAGACCATCATGTTGGCGTTTGAATATTGAAACAGATGCTTATTTTCTCCAGAAAAACATCAAACGCAGCTTATAATGTGTATTTTGGTTAATGCTTTTCAAAATAAATCTAAATCTGTAAATTACAACAGTGTAAGTGGATCACTTTTAAAATACACAGACCACTATATACACATTTAAATAAACAAATGTATTGAAGTGGATCAATTCAGGAGTTTTTTTAAGCATTCAAGTAAAGCTTTTTTTTGTTCTTTTAAGACCTTTCTAATACAACCATAGTGGACTGAAACTTCTGCCTTGTGTTAATCTTAAATGTTTTAATTTTAATAATTAGAAAGAAAGGTTATTGAAAAGGATTCTATAGCACAAAAAGAAAAGGGAAAAACAAAGATTTTCACGTAGAGGACAGGATCTCGCTTGCGATGTTGTTTCCTACCACTTTACGCCCATCAACTCTTTTCTTTAGAGAATTTTAATCCTACTTTCTTTCAGGGGGGAAAAAAAACACTAGACCCTGGTTTGTCATCCCAGTTCTATTCATGCTGTCAAAAGACATACGAACTAATCACATGGAAAAAACGAGAGGGGCTACCACATTTCAAGACCATTTTTGAGTTTGACAGTCAGAAAGCTTCACCAAGAACTTTCTTCGCTGACAGATGTCACTTAAAATTGGAGAAATACTTTCTAATAAAAATGGTGCCATATGAACAATCTGAATCATGTCCATAGAAGTGAGTTGCCTTGCTCTAATGAGCCCCTATGGATCTCCCTGATGCAGCTGTATTGACATGCTCACTTAAGCTAATACACCTAGACCAAGATGCCTTGGTGCCTTGAGCACTGACAGTCTGGGATACTGACAGTGTATCTTGCTTCAATCTTCAAAGGAGAAGTGATTAGAATGTTATCATTACCATTCGAAACGTGATTTTCCTATTCCCTCCTGGCAGAGGTGACATATCTGTGAGACGTGGCCAGCAGATCGCAGCAGCTAAAGCCACTTCAAAGCTTCCCTTGAAATTTTTTTCGAAATCATTAGAACAATGTGTTCAGATCAACGCAGATAGGACCTGATGTGAAGGTCAGACACATTGCAATAACAATCTATACTAATTAATCTAGCTCTTCAAATACGGAGTACGCTTGTTTTGGATAAATTATACTGATTACATTACATAACACAAAAACAATTTTAGAAAAACAGCAAGGTTTCCAACACGGTTCTCAAAAAATTAACAGTTGACAGAAAACACCGATCTTTCCCAAGCACACACAGATACCTAACAACAAACAAGAATGCACTCACCTCTTCACGCAATTTTATCAACTGTGAACGCACAGAAAGATAAAAAGGAAAGAAATGGCAGGGATGAAACATCTGTCATACAGTAGGGTAGAACATTAACTATGACAATTTATCTGTTTACGTACTTAGTATTAAGAAATCATAGAAGAGTTCCTTTAAAGAACCTAAAAAGGCTCACGCAAAGAGAATTTTCAGAAGCATATTTTGAAAGAACAAAGATTAGTTCTTCCTTTGTCAACACACATAGTTACAATCATTTTTCTCTTGTTTAGTGCACAAGAGGTATGTTTGCCGCATTCTTCAAAGAAAAAAAGGGGCTTTATAGCAAAGATTTTTTTTAAGAGACGTAAAATGTGTACAGTATTATTTCAAATCGTTGAAGTATAGATGGCTTTGTCATCGGCCATTTAACAGCTGCGATTAAAGACAAAGCAAAGCAGAAGCAATTGTGGGTCCAATATACACATACAGAACATACACAACACTGAAAAGACTGACTGCAATGATTTGCGCACAGATGTGTATTTTAATTGATTAAACAAACTTGTGGTAGAAAAGGACACTTTAAAAACATTCTGAAACCAACAGCATGGGGGAAAAGTGGACAGCACAACATGCAACAGACGTGGGGGCAGAATCCGTCATCTTTTAGCTGAAAATTGAAAGCACTGCTGCAGTGAAGGAAAATAAAGTACTTTTACTTCATAGGAGAATTTTACAAAATACCTAACAAAAATATAGAACTGCTGGCACTTACTTAAAAAGGAAAATATACTTTTCCATGATACCACTGACAAAATGTTTTGAGGTTAGGAAGATGGTGCGAGCTTTTTCGGGTCACCACCTCAAATTGACCAGAATACTTAACGGGCCAAAGTGCAAAACTGCGCACTAGATGTGACCTGTCCTCTCCAGTCATATCCATGAGTAGTACTATGAGGCAATGCCCAGTTGTTTTACAATAGAATCTTAACAAAATGTGTTCTATCTTGTTTGTGCTGCCTGGCTGATTTTAAAGCTTCTCCATGGATTTGAGGGCGGCTTTGGTTTAGTTTATTTTGTGCCACGCTGAGGTACGTATTAATGCGTATTAACGGAAAAAAGTGCTATTCAGACAGATAACAAGAGAATATACTGAAAGTTGTATATAGTCGGCAATCGTACAATTGCGTTTTGCATTTCCCTCATTATCATCATCATTAAGAACGGAGTTCTGCCATTTCAGTTATGATAATCGCAGGATTTTCAAACAAAGATTTTCAATATGGTATTCGATACGAGTGGTAATCTGTTCTTTGTAACCTGAAAAATCTGGTGCGCGCCGGTTTGAACCAGCAGAATCTCTAGTGGCCAGACTGCTGCTGTGACTGAAATCGAAACTGCGCCGCAGTATGTGAAAACCACGTGACGCACAAAACTACAGAATTATGAAAAGCGATAACGCCAATTCCTTCTCTGTCCGCATACAGATAACGAATAAATGCTGAACTCTATTAAATGTCCTTTACACATTATCGCTAGGTGAACACGCAATTTTCAGAACTTATAAAGGTTCTCCATTCATTTCGTTATAAATCCTCGCCATGTAACTAACAGATTTGTTGCTCATAATGATCTGCTCTGCCAGGGCTATATGAGATGATACTGACCTCTTTCAGATCTTCGGGAATTAAATTGACCGGCGCCAACCTCTGCGCTAAAACTGCAGTTTGGTGTATTTCGTGCACAGTAAGCCCCATAGCATTATCGCTGGAGCTCACTACTTCACAGGCTCCAGTCGCATTACTTGCATTAACAAAATAAACAAAACTTATAAGCGAAGTTGGACATCTTGCAGATTTTGTTCTAAGCTCGAAATTTGTCAGCGGAATAAAAAAAATCTTCCCGATAAGGTTCTGCCCATGGTCTCTGTACTATGATTAAAACCTAAACGGTTTTTAAATCGGAGGTTTTGTTGTTGCTTAGCTTTGCATTAAACAATGTATTTCCACTTGAGTTGCTGTTAATGCTGTTACTGAGCAGCTTGAGAAGACCTACTAGTGGCTGACCTTCATCACCCTCGAGCCACCCACAAGGGTATGCTGATTAGTGGCCATACCTGGTTCTCGGAGGTATTCCCATCATCCCCCAGGAGCTCATTTCGAAGGTTTACCTCATCACTGTAGGCGATCCGTGACCTTTTCTGTAAACGAAAGGGAAAAAAGAGCAAAACTTGTGTTAGAAAGTAGGACTTACAAAATTAGTAGAAGTATAGTCTTCCTACAGCGGCAGAGCCCCCTAATGGATTGCCTCCACAACACAGATCTACTGTGGTAGTTTACTGTTTAATTGTGAAATTCATGTCTGGACAAATGCATCAGTCGGCACAATGGAGATGAAGGACTTGCCAGCAAAGTTGTTGCTGTCTCTCATTTAACAAAGTTGGCTATAGTCGACTGATTTTTTCACACAACTTCATAGTTTGAAGGGAGTGGGGGGTGTGTATGAATATTACACATCCACATGTCCCATTGTTGTTGTTTCCAATAGTCAAAGAAGAAATAATTAAGGAAAGCATTTAGTTTGTCCTCCTCTCCTGAAAACTTCCCAAAGTATGAACATTCAAAATACCGAAAGTAAACAATTGGCTAAGGAAAACATTACCTTTTGCAGAACTTTAAATGTTAACAAAACTGTCAGCATTTGATCAACTAAATCAACTTTAGTAATTGTATAAAGTTTCATTTTGTTCCACAATTGCATACATGTTTTACAATGATTTCAACAAGGCCCTACAAGTTCAAAATACTGCAGAAAATGTTTGATTCGATTAATTATATTGTATTGATTTAAATGCTAGTTTCTTACCCCAAATAAAGTCTATTTTAAAAAATATATTGCAGTCAAGTTTTTGTTGAATGCCAAATGCATTTGCAATGTATTATGGTCATCAATCCTACTCCACACTGCGCAAGTTATTTTTCCAAAGAATTTTAATGAAGCATCAAATCAAATCTAACGTGTGGAAATGGACCAGCTCTACCTTTTAATTACAGTATATTATTTTATTATTCCAAGATATGTTTTGAAGGAACAACACCCTCTTCTAAATTGAAACACAAAAATGTCAAAGGGTCGAAACACTGATCAATGAAAAACAAATCATACTGTAGACCAGAACAGTTTTCATACTATAAAGCAAATAATCTTCTGTCATTATAAGGCCTAAGACAGCTATGAAAACCCATTAGTAAACATTCCCTATATCCACTGCTTGGTAAGTTAGTTGATTATCACGCAAGTCCAGATCAGAAGTTAGTGGGATAAGTATTTGTTTTGATTCAGAACTTTGTAGTGTCCTACATTCTAATATTTATAGTATTGTCATGATTGGTAACCATGACAATCAGAAATATTGTTTGGTCTGTCGTGAAATTGAATACAATGAATAAAAAATATTTTTGAACGTTTTGAAAAGGCATAATTAAATCCAAATTCATTTGAACCAAAATTCAACATGCGATTCTAATATAAATAGAACAATTGACAATGTGTAGCAGAGGTTACAAAGTGGGTAACCGTGTAATACTGAGGACGAACTGCTAAATTAATTTTATATTGGAATAAAGTTGATAATGAACTCTTGCATTGTCTTTCTGGGTTTATAAATCACAGGCGGCAAATAAAAACATCAAGCTTTTTGGGGGCCTTTCTCACAGCGACTATTAATAGCAAAGCACTCTTTAATACTTCCCTTGATATCATGTGAGGAAAGCAAGGAAGGAAGTGTTGGACTGGAGTGAAAAGAGAAACAGCAGCCTGTGGTGAGAGCTGAGGCCTGGCAGGGGAGAGTCTTACAAGAGTTGCAATGTGGGCAGTCTGAAGCACAGTTTGATAGGAGCCACGCTTATTTTTTAATTGGGAAATCAGTTTTGCTTTTCACCTGCCATTTGTGCCATTGAGACGTTAAATCTTCATAGAGGGAATTGGGATTTTTTTTTAAAAAAGAGCTAGGATTGCTCACTGCCTATTGTGGCTACAGCTGTGAAAGACTTCTGAGCTTGAAGTGGCAGCTTGACCATATGGATGCCAATGGGTAACGTAAAGACAGTAAGACAGAGTAGCAAATTTATCACAACCGTCCCTGAAGAGTTGCAAGTCATATTTTTCTGTTTACATGTTTTTTAATAAAGAATATCACATATTTGCGGGAAAGGGAGAGAAGCAAAGCTGAGTTAAGCTGAAATGACCATTTTTATAGCAGAATGTTCCACAATAGTTCCATTCACAATGTGGACAAACATGGTTAGATCACGTAAAATATACAAACATGTTACACACCTGGAGAAATAGGGGGGGGGGGGGGGGGGGGAATCAACGGTTACACCCTCCTTTGATTATTTAAAAATAATCAGGCTTAAAATACTATTAACAACAATATGTGAAAACAGGCACAGTAAATTCAAAAACACATGTTTGGTAGCAAAGATTATAGCTAAATGTTACGCAGCAGAGCGGCAAGAAGGCAACGATTCAGTTTGAGGAGTATTCAATGCACTCATTTATCAACCTTTAGTTACCAACTAAAAAAAATCTTTAACCTCACAGTTCATAAATGTAGGGTTGAACATAGGATGCATTCAGCTCCAGAAGCACAGCATGGTGCCAGGCCAAGAGCAGTCAGTGTTCTGTACTCGATAATCACTGCACGTGCGATTGGAGTGTACTGTGGACAGCATCTGGTTGGACATTTCATCTCCTGCTTGATGTTTGGGGGAAGAGGGGGAATGCTGAATCAGCATTCGCCGATAAGTTATGACAAGTATACTTTTATAGGGGGAAGGCAGAACATGACCTTTTTAGAATGGCTTGGTTTTTGAATGAGAGGGTTTTGTGGGGCAGGCAAAGTTTCACATAGGTTTTTGTAAAAGAAATATTCAGGGCGAAGGATAGTGAAGTTATAAGAATGTTTGGTTAAAATATACAGAAAGTAAAATTAAGACATGAGGATGTCAGGTGCAGAACTCACAGCATGTTATAGTTCAGAATGTAGCCTGGAGGAGGAGGAGGAGGAGGACTGACTCATTTCGCCTAAAATTAACTCACCCAACTCACATACGGGCAAAACTAAACCACTGGATTTCATACTACACCTTTGCTACTCACATTTCAAACTACATCATTTCAATATAGAGCCTTATGTGGAAATGTCACACTATTATTTTTAGATGCTGTGACTGGCTACGTGGGCAAACACAGTAGGTAATCAGCAAACAGGATGAATGACTAAATGTAATCTTCATTTGTTAAATTTGGAAGAGGGATATATAATGACCAAAGCACTGAAAGCACTCCCTACTCTTCTTCAAATAGGATCTTTAGCACCTACCTGAACCATAACACACAGATGAGCCTTTGTTTTGATGTCTCATCCAAATGGAAGCATGTCAAGCAATGCAGACTCCCTTAATTTTCCTTATTGAATCATACTGAGTTGTGAGAGGTCTGTTGGTGCCAAGACTGAAGGACAGTTGAAGCAAGTTTACTGTAATTGATCCAAGTATCAAAGCATTGCAGTTGGCTGGTTACAGGATTATAATCCTCCGCAAGGTAGAGTTACAATACTTGCATTTGATAGTACATACAGCACATGCAACAAGTGAGAAAACCACAAGAAACCATGGGAAACTGTAGGAAAGCTTATGGCAGCAGTCCTATTTGAGGCTCATATAATGAAAGGGGCTGCAACAATTTTTATTGCACCCAGACAGCTACTTTTGGTACAATTCAAGCCTCATGCAAAAAGATAACAAAGGAAAGCCCAAAGCAGGCAATATTTATACAATGTTGAGCGCTCAGCCTTCAGTAAATTATGGGAAGAAGTAACGGATGGAATAATTTACTTAATCTGGATCTTATACCTCTTTGGTAATCCTGGGAAACGCCTGTAGTTCTCAATCGGGAGAAGAGGCTAAATGCACTACTGCTGTTACTAGCAAAACATATTGCTCTATAATACTGAAGAATGAAAACAAATGTTGCTTGTAGCATTGGTTTGATACAGTGGTGGAAACAGCCAAACTGGGTAATGAAGTACAGTACAGCCTACCATGATAGAACGGAATATGTGCTTATGTACACTGAGGAATGGATTTGAAAAAAGTATGTTCGAGTGGGAAATGTTCCGCTCTTGGGCATTGTACCGTGTTACTCTAGAAGGTGGGAGACAAACTCAACCATAAGCAACCAATTGATCAATATAATGCTACTTATCACTGAAAGCAGAGATTTAGATCAGAGTTAAGCACTGGGAGCCAAAATGTTCTCATTAGTCTAATCTTTTTCATTTACGGTTTCTTAATTCCTTTTTTCCTCATTCTTATCTAATTTCTCATCATATTCTTCACTTCATCATGCTTTTTTGTAATCAAGAGAGTCCCGTTGAAGCACACAGACACAGTGGATGTGTTGTGGAACTCTAATGATAAGTAGGAAGCAATCAAAAAGTGCAAATAAGAGCACCAGAACAGCTCATTTAGAACTATCATTTTCACTGACCTACATCTAAATAGCCCTGGCCACCAAGAAAGCCAATTACATTGTTTTGCATGTTTTGAATGGGGCATGTTCCTTTCATTACAGAACATTGTAAAACAGTTTAATGTGTCATGCCAGCCCAGAATTCACAACAGCATTTATTTCAATTTCACAAATTCTGTATCACAGTACTAATATAATCAATAAGAAAATAAGTACAAAGCTCCCCTTGAATCTCAAATCATTTCACCCTGATCAATTTTTCATTTTAAATGTTTACTGCAAATCTTATCGTGGTTTTAGATTAATTTTTAACCATGCAGACTGCCCAGGGATCACCCGATGCCTTAATTTTGAATATATATGAAACTGCACCAAACCCATTTTAAAGAGGCTCTGTGTCTTTTAAGTACAAATGCTTTTTAAAAAAATTCCAACCACAAAACCGACACCGCAGAAATGTTACAGCACTTTTCTTACCGTTCACACAAAAAAAATACTGTATAAAATGCCCATTGGGTCGAAATGTAATCTGGCTGGTAATCAGAACCTCTCTATAATAGTAGTGAAAATGGGCCAAGTAAAGTTAATCTGCAGCATTATGAGAAACTGAAACCGTTTACATAGTAGTCATATCACAGTCAATTATTTAATAATTCATTAAAT